TATATATATATATATATAAATAAACATACAAACATACATACATACATACATATATATATATACATATACATATGTGTGTAAGTGTGTATGTATATGTATTTGTATACATATATACACACGTGTTTATATTTCTGTTTATATATATGTATGTATGTATGTATGTATGTGTGTGCTTACATGTATGCATGTATGTTTGTATGTATGTATATGTATGTATATGTACGTATATGTGTGTTTGTGTATATGATTGTATGTGTATATGTAAATGTGTGTGCATGTGTATATGTATGTGTATGTGTATATGTTTATGTAAATGTATTTGTAGATATGTAAATGTATACAGGTGTGTATGTGTATGTGTAAATGTCTATGTATATGTATATGTATGTGTATGTGTATGTGTATATGTATAGTTATATGTATATGTAAATGTATATGTGTATGTATATGTATATGTATATGTATATGTTTATGTATGTGTATATGTATATGTATACGTATATGTAAATGTATATGTATGTGTATGTGTATGTGTATACGTATATGTATGTGTATAAGTATATGTAGATGTATACGTGTGTGTGTATGTAGATGTGTGCAAATGGAAATATAAATGTGTATGCATGTGTATATGTATGTGTATATGTATATGTATGTGTATATTATATGTCATGTAAATGTATAAGTATACGTATATGTATATGTAAATGTATATGTATATGTTTGTGGATATGTGTCTGAATATGTGCATGTACATGTACATGTACATATGTATATGTTTATGTATATGTATATGTACGTGTACATGTGTATGTATATGTGTGAAACATGTTGTTGCTGTTTTTGTTATATATACAGCGCTTTCTTTTTGTATGACATATATGTTCGGGTATATTCCCCCAAAAAAACCACAACATCAAGAAACAAACTGCAAAGTAAACGGACAAAAAAACCCAATGGGGGATTCCCCGGGGGTGTCGACGAACTGCCACACCCAACTGCCACCATTTCCATGCCCGCCACCTTCCTCAAGACTCTCAGGAGCCATAAGCTGCAGGTTAGAAATGTGGCGCGTGCCGCCGAAGTGTGCAAGGATTTTTTGCATGTGTAATGGATGGCCGAGTAAAGCAGAAAAGAGTGGCCATGCAAGAAAAAGTGACCATGCGGAATACAATGTGTGGGCTGCTACAATTGTGATCTGAGTAAGTGAGGAAGGAGGTCGGTGAAGCAATGATATGAAAGAACAAAGGTGCGATTGAATACTCGAGATGGGAGGTGTAAAAAAACAGGCAGTTCTTGGCTCGTCAGGGTTTTACGGTTCACCCACGAACTCCTTGGACCCAGGGCCCCATGTTGTTCGTCGGTTGTTTTCGGTATTCGCCCGAACCCATGGTACCTGAAGTGGCCAGCCTGGCAGGCTGGCCAGATTGGCTGGCCTGTATGATGACCCGAGCGGCTGCAAGTATGCATTCAGGCTGGCCTGTAAGGCTGGCCTGTCAGGCGAATGGGGCTCGCCCTGCCCAGTTGGCTAGGGGTCCTGAAATGTGGCCGAAATGTGGCCTTTGAGGTAGCCCAAGGTGTTTAAGGGCTGCACGCTGAAAGCAAGTTTTCCTTCTCCCCCCCCCCCCCCCCCACACGCAAGACATAACCTATCCCCAGCGAGTGTCAGCTGCTGTCAAGAGCGGTGCACATCCTCCTCCTCCTCGTCCTCATTATCCTCCTCCTCCTCCTCCTCCTCCTCGTCCTCCTCCTCCTCCGTCTCCTCCTCCTCCTCCTCCTCCTCATCATCATCATCACCACCACCACCATCATCATCATCATCATCATCATCATCATCATCATCATCATCATCATCATAAACATCATCAGCACAAGCATCATCATCAGCAGCATCTCATCATCATCATCACCACCACCACCATCATCATCATCATCATCATCATCATCATCATCATCATCATCATCATCATAAACATCATCAGCACAAGCATCATCATCAGCAGCATCTCACCTCCTTCCTCATCCATCCTCCCTCCATCCCCCTCCAGCTAGACAACATGTGGCACCAAGCGTCTCCACGTCCATCCGCAGAGGATTGCCCACGGCTACTCTTGCTTCCTACCAGTTCGCCCGAAGCCGTAATCACGCTTGGTACTCCAATTGGGCTTGTCCTCAGGGCCACCTTCTGTGCCGACATGATGCTTATTCTCTCCACCACGCTTTCGCTGCTCACGCCCGACGCCACCTGGCGTCGTCGGCCACTTTGAAGAACAGTAGTCCACCAGCAGGGAGCCCGTGCCAACAGCGCAAGCGCAACTCACAGCTAACAACCCTAGCTGCCAGGGAATTCAAGTGCACTGAATGCTTCAGAGCACGTACCCGCCGTGGCGCTGATCTACTACCCGTGACGAATGCTTGAAAGACCCAGCACAGTGGAGAGCAGCTGCAGACGCGATCTTGCGCCCTGAAGGGCAAGCGACCGCCTGGTCTCCTCCTCTTCCCTCTACTCCCCTACCTCTTGTCGTCAACCATCCATGCTGTTGCCCGCGGTTTTTCTTCGATCCCGCGCCGAGCATCGTTAGACGTACGCTTCTGCCCGCGCGCCCGGTGGCGCATGGCTCGTTCGTTCGGTCGTTCCGCCGCTCTGCCGCTCGGGCCCCCGCAGCTCTTTCGCGGCAGTGCACGCGTGCTGGTCAGACCAACTTTGGCGGCCAGCCCGGGGGAGAAGCCAGAGGGAGGGAGGCGAGGCGAGGCGAGCGCGCGATGGCGGTCCGGTGGGACCGGCACTACAAGCCTCGTCAAAAATAAACAGGAGACTTCTGAATTCGGTGATTGTGGGGTCAGCGCTACTCCAATGCTGACGGATTCCTGTTGCTTCGGACGCGGTGTTGTCCAAAAACCGACCCCACCATCTCAGCATTGAAGAACGCGCTTTCTGACAAGTGCCCGGAAGTATCGTGCCCCAGGATTTCAACTTCCATTTCTGGATATTTTTGACGAGGCTTGTAGGAGGGCAGCGCGGCGGGGCCGGAGCCCTCAGTAGTCGAGGAGAGGGGGCGGGCCTTCTCAAAAGGCTTCCAAGTTCCCAGGCCTTCTGAGAAGTCTTTTAAGCCTTCCCCGACGACAAAGAGAACTTCTCGAAAGGCCAGGTGGGCTTATGAGGAGTCCCGCCGCCTTCTGAGAAGGCCTTCTCCTTCTCACTTCCACCCCTCGCTCGCGGCCGATAACTTGCGGGTGGCATGATTGTGCACTCCCCGTTGATCTCTCGATGGGACTCCCGACCTATCCGTTCAAAGGTCACCTCATGAGCCATCGCTGAGACTCCCGAATGTTCCACCCGGTCTGCCGTATGTGCTCGCGGCAGCCAGAGCGCCTCACACACTATGGTGCACTGGCGGGATATCCCCTGGCATCCCATTCAGTTGGCGCACCAGGCTCTCTAGGATTCTGGACTCCCCAGTGAGCCATCGCTGGGACTCCCGGCGTTTCCAGCCTACTGGCCTTAGGTGCGCGCAGCAGTCAGAGCGCCTCACACTCAAACAAGATGCCATGAGTGAACCGTCTCTGAAATTTCAAAAGGTTCCTACCAATCGCACACAGCACTCCACTTTCGTAGACTTCTTTCTGCACTCACACTAGGGCCTTGGTACCCAGTACCTCCCTGTCCTCAGAGCATGACCATTGAGCTGATAGGACCAGCATGCAATTTCCCTCTGTCCAGTGTTAGGGCAGGCTCTGGTGCCAGGTAGTACCCACCTGAGCACACAGCACATGTTACGGACTCTCCAGCGAGCCCTCGCTGGGACTCCCGACTTCCCCAGTCTGCCCGATTTAGATGCGCATGGCGCGCTGAGTGCACAAAACTACGGATTTCCCAACGAACCGTCACTGGGACTCCTGCGTTTCCAACCCAGCCGAAATCATGTGTTGAGACCCTTGGTATCAAATACCCATGTCCGATAAAAATGCGACTCCAAACTTTGGTATGCCTGTCTCGCGCATCCTGCAAACCTAGCAGCTCAGACACGAATTCTGAACGCCCCACGAGCCATTGCCATCCACGGAAAGCCGACCTACTGCTCAGAGGTTCTGTCTTGCTCTGAGGCAGTGGCCCGTACGAGGCCAGGCCTAAGAGGCTACTAGAGGGCCACGATGCTATCTAGGCATCTATATGCTCGGAAATAGACCAGGCCAATAGTTGATTTTAAGAACACAAGAAGGAATTGGTTCTGGACGTCACAGCAGCAAAAGCGACCGTTGCAGAAAGATACGCCTGAGGTTTAGAACATTGTTCTGCAAGCCGAAATGTATGTACTTCTTGCTTTCGGCGCTCATGCAGAACAGGCTGGGGCGCTAGGAATGGACTTCGTTTGGCACAAGCCTCACTGCCCTCCCCAGGTTTACGCTGCCCTCCCCAGGCTTACGCAAGCTCCGGTACAAACTGTGATCCCCTGGTACAATAGTCACATATTATTTGCTCTGCGCTTACCCATCGGGCAAGCGGATGGCTGAACGGCAAAGCTTGCTGGCTATACCACATCCATGGCGGCGCTCTTCCCAGGCGAGATTATTCATCACGGATTGGCGTGCCGTCATTTTTGTGTTCAGCAATGCTCGCAATTGTGCAATTGCTGCTGCCTCGTTGCAACGGCAACGGCCTCCAGCCTAGATGGAACTAGAATCCGTTCCTCCGAGGCGGTGATGCCCACGTCGCAATGTGGCGGGTTTTTTGACTGGACTTCACCCCCTTTATTCCACTTATAATTTTCCGTTCGACCTGTACAACCGTTCCCATGGGTGCTCTACAGGGCGAAAATTTCCTCGCGTACCCGGGGTCGGGTTGCAATTTTTGCTTCTGGCCTAACTTGGCCAACGCACGCTCTCGCTAGGCGATACCGCGCTCATCAAAATATAGTCGTTCCGTCTTCGCTCCCCCCGCCTCCTCATTCCCCTTCCTCATCGTCCTTGCCTTTTGCGAAGCCTCCCCGCGGCACCCCGTCCTGCCCTGCTGCACCATAATCAAAATGGCGCCCGCGGAAATAAAACCTCGCAGGGGAGGAGGGGGGGAGAAGAGCGAGGGAAGCAACCAGGGGAAGCAAAGGACAGGCTCAGCAATCCCACTCATGGGCATGCAACGGCGAACCTGGACTCCCTTCGGAGAACCCTGCACGCCTGCGCTCGGCCGGACGCAAGGAAGGGGCGAGAAGGAGGGGGGTAGCAACAGCAGCAGGCAGGCAGAAAAGCAAGCAAATGGCGGGGAGCAGAGGCGGGGGCGGGGGCGGTCGCCGGGGGCAGTCGCAGTGAGCGGTCGTCGGGGCGAACGCAGGCGCGGCAGGCGCGGGCGCGTCGGGAGCAGCGCGGCCGCTGCCGGCGGCGCGGCAGCGCGGCGCGGCCGCTGCTGGCGGGGGGCGCGGCAGCGCGGGCGCGCAAGGGGCAGCGCGACAGTGGAGGTGGGGCCCCGGACCGCGACGGCGGCGATGACCCTAGGAGGGGGGGGCTGCCGCGTTGTCGCTTGGGCAGCAGGAGCCCTCCTGGGCAATGCCGGGCCTGCCTGGCCGGAGCCCGCCCGCCCCGCCCCTCGGCAGGGGACCCCGCTCGCCCTCCAGGTAAGGGGGGGAAGGGCGCAAGGCGACGCCGGCGGCGACTCACACGGCGCCAGCTGCGGCCGCCGCCGCGGCCGCTGCAAGGCGCGAAGCAGCCGCCCCCGTCGACGGCTGCAGCCGCCGCAGCACCGCCCGCGCTTTTTCCCGATGAAGGGAGACTGAAGGTCGCTCGGCTTGCTGGTCCGCCACTAGGGCGGCGCCCTCCCCGGCGGCGTCAGCCACCCAGTTGGCCAAGATCGCCAAAGCTCTCGCGGCCTCGCGCCCCCACCCGCCACCGCGGGCCTCCACCGCCATAGGTATGACGGCGGGGCCTTGCCCCGCGCTCTGGCGATCGGTGCCCAGGCGCTGCCGCACGCACTCTCGCACTCTTTGTACAGCTCCGCCGCCGCGCTGGAGGACGCAGTCGAAGCAGCGGGGAGGTCGGCGAGAAGCCCAGAAGTGGTAGCGAAGTTCCAAGCCGCTGGCACCCCGCGGGACCACCTGGACAGGCAGGCGTCAGCGGGGCGCCTGTCGCTGGCGCCCACATCAGGCTCGTCCTGTTCGCCGCTCGCCCCGCAAAACCCGCCGCCTGCTCGTCGAAGAGCCCCTGGTCCCGGAGCGCGCAGCGACGTTTCGCCCCGTCGCTGCGGCAAGAGCAAGCAATGACGCGGTCTAGCCACGCGCCCATCACCTCTCCGCCAGCACGACAGCCGCGACAACGCCCACGACGACGCCGACGTCAACGGCAGCAATGGCGACGAGCACTGGGCGGGCACTGGCGGACTGGCAGGCAGAGAAACACCCTGGCCGGCCCCTCGCGGGCAAGTCGCGACTTTTCCGCCGCGGCCCGCCCGCGCGCCGCCCGCGGCCCACCCGGCGCCTGGCGGAGGGCGCAGCGTGCGACAGCTTGACCTGGGGACACCGTGCACGCTGGCCCACGTTTCCTCAAGTTGCTACTTAGTTGCCCCATAGCCCTAAAGCCTTACAGCCTCATTGCCCTATAGCCCCATAGCCCTATAGCCCCTGAGCCTTTTCGCCCTATAGCCCCATAGCCCTATAGCCCCATAGCCCTAAAGCCCTACAGCCCTAAAAAAATTAGGACTGGGGTTTTTGCCCCGGCACCATTCGCAACTATATGGCAACTGAATAGCAACTGAATAGCAACTGACAAATCACATGAGCCCAGCAGGCCCGGCGCGCACCTGGAGCAGCGCCGCCGCGAGGGCGCCGCGGCAGAGCGAACGGGGGGGGGCGCCAGCGCCCGGGGCAGGCCCCGCCCACGAAGCCCCTGGGCCCCAGCAAATCAGCTTCGGCACCCAACGGGCGAGCGGCGGCATCACGCGGAGCGCTTGCATGCCTGGAGATCGCACTCCGCCCGGGGCGCGCCGCGTGCGTCAGGGGCGCCAAGTGCACCAGGCGCGCAGCGCGCGGGCTCGCCAATGGCGGGGGGCGAGCTGGGCGCGGCGGGGTCGCCAAGGGGGCCGAGCGACACGCGCGCGGGCACGGCGCCGCCGCGCGCGCGGCGGGGCGGCGGACTGGATGGCGCCCCCGCGAAGGGTCACTCACTATCAAAAACGCGCCAGAAAAAAAACCCATCATTGGGGCCGCACGACCACCGCTCCGCGAAACTCAACGCAAGTTGCCCCGCGCCGCGCCGGCGCCCCCAGACCCCAAAAACTGGATGCTGAAGATAAAACACGCGACTTCGAACATCCCGACGGCGCCCGCGCACCGCGCTGCGCGCGCAACTGAACATTGACACCGGGGGCGAGGGGGGGTCGGCAAAACTTGCGTTAAGTTTCACGGGGGGGGGCCGCAGGGCAGGAATCCCCCGCGTCGAGGAGCCGGACTCGGAGTCGTCGCTGGACCGCTGCCTGAAAGAGGCCGCGCTGGACACGGGCGCCCGCGGCGTCGCCAGGCGGCGCCTGCAGGAAGGCAGGCCCCAGCGGCGGGCGCCCGCAGCAAGCGGAGGCGCGCCCGCGCGGCGACCGAGGAGTAGGCCCAGAGGCTGGCGGGCGCCACGTCGTCGACGGGGTCGCTGAATCGCTGCTCGATCCGGCGCTGCTCCGGGTCGAGCGCCACCCTGTCCCCGTCGGAAACACGGGGCGTGGAGCGCCTGCACTGCGCTCGCGAGCGCCCCTCCGTCGCGCCCTGCCTCGTCGGCGTAGCCTGGGCAGAGCAAGGGTCGATGGGGTTGACCGCGAAGCAATAAGCTGACGGCCCTGCTACGAGGGCGACGTCGGCGACGCATCGAGGCACCCCACAACTCATCCCTCGACGGCAACGAAGACGAGAGGTCAGAGACAAGCCATGAGGTGGACAGGCGTATAATTCAAAGATGTAGCCTTTGTCAGATACAGTGAGCCGATCCAGTCACGCAGTCGCGCAACTAGCACATAGGTCTGCGCAACCCTAAGCCAAGGTTGGGACGGACATAGCGCTCGCTATACACCCCCCTTTCATCCGTTGTAAGTCGGGAGGGGGGGGGCCGAACGCTAGGTCCTGACCCAAACAAATTAGCGCAAATAAAGGAGGAAGGTTTTTGACAACATCCCTAACAATACACAGTCAAGGCAAGCACAGGCAGCGAAACGCGCCAGGGCCAGTCGCGGGCACACCCCCACGACCAGCGACAGAAGACCGCGGCTTAGATAACCAGGGAGGGCGCCTGGCCAACTGCAGGACGTCGTCACGCGCAACGCGCGAGGGTACCCGACCAAACGATCGGGCCCCCAGAAAAAGACAGGCGATGGTCCGTGCCCGGGATAGCCTGCATCCGCTGGCAGCGGCACACGGTGCACGTGGCCGGGCACGAAACGACTACATGTAGGTATCTGGATAGTCAGCTGTACACCTAGCCGCTAGCCCTGAGTAGGGCACCATTACGTTGATGCTCTCTTTGTTGCCTCGACGAGGCTTGTACTTCCTTACCTCATATTTGACGGGCTGATTGCCTTCTATGATTCGCAGCAGTCAAGCCCGATCGATACATCCTTTAGTAGAACCATGTTTTGTCATATCTCGCGCATCACACCACTGCACGCCATGCACGACACCTCGGTCCATCACTCATCTCATCCAGCTGGCATGCCCCAGTAGGTACATCCAGTCGGCTTCTCCAAGTCCTTGCTTGATAAAGACTTGAAGACCGACGTAGCGCCCATGGAAATGATGGCCTTGATGCAGAGACCGACTAACTACAAGATGTTATTAAGCTGCGTGGCCGTCAGCGGCCCAGCCTTGAGCTCGCGTAGCGTTACTGCAGCAGGGTAGCTCTTCAAGATTACGAGCTGCCGTGTCCGCGCAGTAAAAGGTCGGCCCCATCGGATGCCATACCCCTTTCACTTCGTAATCTTCGCCCAGGGCAAGGCGACGGCGTGCGGAGTCAGTGTGAAGGCCCACTTCCCCTGCCGGAGTTACGAGACGAGATATTATCTTCTCTGGGCCTTGCTGAAGTTTGAGCGTGGCAGCGCTGAGTCCGCGTGCTTGGAGCTTCGTAGGTTTCTGCGAGCGTTGCAAGGATACCACGCATACCAAACCTGAGTGGATAATGCACACGCTAATGCGACACGTAAACTGATGAACACGTCAGATACTGCCTTCGCTGCCTTCTCTCGGGCTACAGCGCCCGTGAGTTCTGGGTGGTGTATAAAACGAAGCTGCTAAATAAATTCATCCTGATCTGGCTGGACGCGGCCTCCCTTGGTCTCAGCGTAGCGCACGGCGCAGTTAGACTCGCAGTCTGCATGCGCCGAACCTACTTTCTCCACATGTGACAGATTTGTCTGCAGCATCCTCCACTCCAGCCATGTCTACGTCGTTAACGTGGTTGGATGTACGAACGCGTGAGCCTGTCTCAAATTCTTCAGCACGCGAAATGGGTTCTAGCCCACAGCCTCACGAACGCCCCAAGGGCAGCTTCGGCGCCCGCGCCTGGCTTCAGGCACTGCAAACAATGTTATGATTCGTCGCAGGGCGAAGCCGGGCAGCGCCCGCAGCACCGAGGCTGAGCCAGGTGGAAGAGCAAAGCACGCCATGCGTTCCTTCTCTCCAGTGGCCTCTGCCAGCTCACGATAGGTCAGGCCCCCCAAGAAAGCCGTCGACATCCATGGATGCTACGGCCCATTGTTTCTTGCGCGCGGCCTCGCTAGTGAGCACTCTGAAGTGGTCGACGAACTGCGCCGGAGAAGGTCTCTACGTCGAATGCTCCGACGCCCATGAAGCCACGAAGGACAAGACGTGGTCGAATAGTTTTCCCCTACTTCGCCCTTCTCGTTCTTGGTAAACTTCCACTTGCACACAGACCTGGATGTCATGATGTTGGCGTCATGTTTGGTTTCCTACACGTGAGAACACTTGTTGTCATACAATATCTTAAGTTCTGCGTACAAATTTTTAGATACCTTGGCCAAGTTGGCCTTTATTTCTGCCTTTTCCGGGAGGTCATCTTCCTTGACGACCACA